TGATGTTTGCGCTAGGGGGTAAGAAAGGTCATATTTGAGTGGCATCATGATCAGTGTATGAGATAAGATTTAGTGGTTAGAAGAAGAAATAATGCTGATGATGATAGTAATAATGATACAATAATATGTTGACAGTGAAGATAAATGATAACTATACTAATCTTTTCCTTTCGGATGCTCCTTTTACGTCACCCTATCCTCTACATATCTTTAGTATTACACCAACTCACGCTTGATGATTACCCTCTCCCTCAACCCACACCTTAATTGCGAATCATATGCGCTGATGCTCACCTTCATCCCTTCAACTTTCAATTTTATACTCATCACTGTGTGATACTTCTCTTCCCCTCCAATACACTCCAATCTAATCTACCCTTTCAGGATCTTTCTTTCATGGTTTCCCTCCCATCCCCATCACGTCCCTTCTCCCCGTCCGATTGGTCTCTTACACACTACGCCCACCCTTTTCCTCGCCATCGTATCAGCTGTTGTCTCCCTTTACCGGCCAGAAAACTAGCTCTCACCTCCGAACTCTTCTTCGTCTTGGTCTCCTTCTCCCGGAGGAGAGGAGGATCTCTCCCAACAATAACAGTGCCACAACCACCAACAACAACAATGGTAATGATAATAATAATGATGACAATGAAAATAATAATGATGACAATGATAATAATAAAAATGATGATACAAATATGAGTAATAATATTTATATTTGCATTACAAAATTACAATGATGATAATAGTGGTAATAGTGATGATGATCATGATAATGACACTAGTGATAATGATTATGAGGATAATAAAAGTAATAACAAAAGTATTGACAATAATGATAATAATACTGATAATAATGATAATAACAACACTAATCACAATCATAATGAATATTCATGAACATAATTCTTACTAATACTACGCATTGGTATAAAATAGTTATAGATATCTCTACTTGTATTCTATATCATGGTATGGGAAGAACACCTACTCAGAACTGAAGTGCTGGAATATCTGAACTATATCGTGGTTCTCAGTGGTATTATGGCTTTCTTCAGCATGCGATCGATCCACAAAGCTCTGGTATATCTAATGAACGAAAAAATCACTGTATTGGATCTTGCATTTTAATCGTGATCCCTGCAAATGCAAAACTGCAATAATGAAAAATATTGAACATTATTAATCGAACATCTACGACTGCCATAAAATCCACAAAATATACGGCTGTACCTGGATAATCGGACTGGCGGGCTCATCAGTGAAAGTCCGCAGTAGAACTAGATACACAATGGAATCCCCGACTGTAACGGCAGGCAGGACCATCAAAAGGCCTTTTCCGATGTGAACGTCACTCTCGTACTCCTGCTGTAAGAAAGAACAACACAACATATATACATATATACATATATATATATATATATATATATATATATATATATATATATATATATATATATATATATATATATACACACACACACACACACACATATGTATATATATATATATATATATATATTATATATATATATATATATATATATATATATATATATATATATATATGTGTGTGTGTATATATATATAAATATTTATACATTTTATGTATATATGTATATTATATATATGTATATATATAAATATATATATGTATATATATTATATATACATATATATATATATATATATATATATATATATATATATATATACACATACATAGTTTATGTCTGTGTGTGTGTGCATATATATATATATATATATATATATATATATATATATATATATATATATATATATATATATATATATATATACATATATATACATATACATATATATACATATATACATATAATGTATAAATATACATATATACATATATATATATATATATATATATAATATATATATATATATATATATTACACATTATATATATATATACATATATATTATATATAGATAGATAGATAGATAGATAGATAGATAGATATAGATAGATAGATAGATAGATAGATAGATAGATAGATAGATAGATAGATAGATAGATACATATATATATATATATATATATATATATATATATATATTTTCTACCCTTAACTAAGGATATTTACCTCTTCCTCCAGCCATACGACGTCGTGGTCGTTCATGTAGTACCACGAGGAATTGCTGGCGCTCGAGTTCTGGGAGTAGACGGCCTCGAGAACAGAGTGACAGCGCTCGCCGTTCTGTAATCTGTATTCAGACATATGAGGCATAGCCAGCATTTTTTTTCTTTCTTTCTTTCTTTCTTTCTCATCTATAAAACATGCAGTATACGGTGTATGAACAATCCGTTAAGCTGATCAAAAATATACTTGGATTTTTTTTTTTTTTTTTTTTTTTTTTGCTTTGTTATTTAATACTTAGGTTACACTAGGCCTTATTTCTTGTTATGGCTTTGCGTTTGTACTATCTTAAAATCGGCGCTTACCTATGCAGTGTATCTCTAAGGTCGTAAGTATCAAATTTGTTTTCGATCTCGACGGACTGGAAAGATAATACATTTTATATTTAAAACAGTTACTGCTATTAAATGCAGTTTTCTGTATATATGCATGGTGGCCACTGTAAGAAAATTGTAAAGGGGTAACTGTTTATAATGAAAACCTCGTCGACATATACTACTGATGTGTCAGCAAACGTTAATTCATATATTTCCTCCTTTCTTCGTCATGTCTCAGCTTTCTCTTTGATTTCCATCCCAAGAAAGATAAGAGACAAAAAATAAAACAGAAAAGAAAGAAGTAATAATCTCACCTGGTTAAATTCCGAAGTATTGTTATCACAGTCTATATATTCAGTGCCCTGAAGTATTTGAATTATTTTTTCCTCCTCGTCTTCTCTAATGGGTGGAACTGAGGCTGTTGTGGTACTTTCAGGAGTTGTGGAACTAGTCTCTTCTGGAGTTATGGAAAATGTTGTTGAGTCGAGACTAGTGGTTTTTGTAATTTCAGTTGATGAAACTGATTCTTCCGAAGATGAAGTTTCAGGAGTTGTAGATAACACTTCGGAAGTTGTTGTTTCAGTTGTAAATGTCGCTTTGGAAGTTGTAGATTCAGGAGCTAAAGATGTCGTTTCGGAAGTTGTTTCAGGAGTTGTAGATATCGTTTGAGAAGTTGTGGTTTCAGAAGTAAATGTCGTTTTGGAAGATGTAGTTTCAGGAACTATAGACGTCGTTTCTGAAGTTGAAATTTCCGTTGTATACGTCGTTTCGGAAATTTTGGAAGTTGTATTTTCAGGAGCTACAGATGTCGTTTCGGAAGCGGTAATTTCTGGTGTTGTAGACGTCGTGTCGGATATTGTGGTTTCAGGTGTTGTAGAAATTTCGGTAATTGTAGATTCAGTTGTTGAGATCGTTGTAGATTCGTAAGTTGTAATTGCAGGTGTCGCAGATGTCTTTTCGGTTGATGTAATTTCAGGAGTTGTGGATACTTCTGTTGTTGTTTCCTGAAAAATACAATAAACAAAAAAACATACTTATAACTAATAACATACATAGTGTCACAAAAAGGAAACATCTTTGTCACAAACGCATTATCCTAATGAAATCCTCGATTCTGCAACAATAAATAATAATGATGAAAATAATGATTGTTATTATCATCATTATTATAATCATTTCCATCATGATAATTAGATAAATCAATATTGTTAACTACGAGACAACTGGACATAAATCTCCAACGTACACAGTCTTCTCCCTCGATCTCGTTGTCAATCGTCAGCGACATGTATTGGCGCCTGTGATCTGGCACCGACCCGAGCATCGCGATATAGTCTGTCATTGATGTCAAGTCCATGTCTCCAACACTGAGGTTTGAGCTGGCGAAAAGCGAGGAAAATTAAGACTGTATTAAATGTCTGAAAACAAATCTTTGGGCTGTTAAGGTGAATAATTTATGTATCGAATTTACGATTACAATTCATGTATTTTAAGTGTAAACTGAAAATGGTCAGCTAGTGGTGCATATATAACATGTACTTGATAAGTTTTTCTTTTTTCTATTGCAGAGATATGATGATACAATGTGAAACTTACTTGGATGCGAAATGCTGGATCACTTCCGTTGCATGGTTATGAGAGGTAGCATTCTCACCCTCGCCATCTTCGCACCCACATGCCCTCTCGTCGTCAAAAGTTTGGTAGATCTGAAAGAGAGAACGCATAATATTCGAATACAAGATCATCTTTCTTTCAGTCTTTCTCTCTCTCTCCACATACATATACATACACACATAGGCACGTATATATATATATATATATATATATATATATATATATATATATATATATATATATATATATATATATATATATATATACACTATATCCTACATCCTACCTGTACGATGGGACTGGCAGGTTCGTCAACGAACGTCCTGAAGAGAACGATGTACACGACGGAGTCCCCGGCTGCGAGAATCGGCAGGACCATCAGAAGGCCGTGTCCAATGTGCACATCAGGATTATATTCCTCCTTTAAAAATCAAACATTGTCAATTAAGGACATTTTTTCTATTTTCTTGTCTTAGAATTCATCACTGACAAGTATGTCCAAGCAAACATTAGTTATATTTATTCTTTATCATCCACGTCTGATGCACTAAGCTGTTTATTTTTCCATCTAGTGCTGTCCGCTAACATTTTCCTGTCTTTTTAAACACGGAAATTCGGCAAGTCTCATGCATAAAGATGATCAAGTTGATACATTTATTGGCAATCACAATTAATTGCATTTCTATTCTGAATGCACACTGTTGTAGAATAATACCTCTTTCTCCATCCACACAATCTCATGCTCGTCCATGTAGTACCAGGACGAATTATCAGAACTGGAGGCATTTTGGGCGTAAACCGTCTCAATGATACAATGGCTTTTCTCGCCTTCTTGTAATCTGTTAGACAGAAACGTGTGGAAGAAAACGAATTCATCCAATTTATCTGAGGTGAAGGATTGTGCAGACAATAAACTCCAACCGTTAATAGTTCTTGAATGTTTGTGGGTGTGCGTCCGTGCAAGAGGGGGTGGGGCGAGTGAAAGAGAGAAAGAGAGAGAGAGAGAGAGAGAGAGAGAGAGAGAGAGAGAGAGAGAGAGAGAGAGAGAGAGAGAGAGAGAGAGAGAGAGAGAGAGAGAGAGACAGAGAGACAGGAACGCAGACATAAAGACATGTAACCATTGTATAGATTTGTCATTGAAGTTTAAGTGAAATGTACAGACATAAACACTGGATCATTTTCGCATTTACCTGTGAAGGGCGTTCTTGAGATCGTCCGTGTCATATTCGTTCTCAATAACGACGCTCTGAAGAGAAACATTTGTTAGTTACTACTTAATATGTAGTAAAACCAACACATCAAAATAAACAATCGAACATACGGATAGTCAGATATATAGAGATATAGATAGGAAACAGATAAACAGACAGACATATAGACACAAGAGATATGTAGACTATTAGAAATATAGACTGGATATGGGGATGATTGGGATTAAATTAGTCTCACCTGAACGTAAGTTGATGAACTATTATCACAATCTTCCATTTCACTTGTTTGGTCGATTTGGATGAGAATCTCATCGTCGGTTTCATCGGGTGGAGTTATATCTGAGGTTGTAGTTACGGTTGCTGTTGTTATTGCGGGTGTTTGTAGTTATTTCAGTTTGCTGCGGTCTCCGTTGTAGACATCTTAGTAGTGGTGGTTATCTCTGGAGTTGTAGTTATTTCAGTTGTAGTTCTCTCGGGTGTCGTTGTTATCTCAGTCGTCGTATTATCTCTTAGTGTTGGTGTATTCCGGACTCGTCACCTCGGAGTTGTAGTCTATCTCCGAGTTGTAGTTTATCCTATTGTAGTTTTATCTCCGGAGTTGTAGTTATCTCCGGAGTTGTAGTTATCAGTTATCTGCTCGTTGAGAGTTGTAGTTATACCCACTCTGTTGCACGTGGTAGTTCATCACTCGTGTCCGGTAGTAGTTTCCACTGTAGAAGTGTCCGTGGAAATTGCAGTAGTTATCTCCGGAGTTGTAGTTATCTCCGGAGTTGTAGTTATCTCCGGAGTTGTAGTTATCTCAGGAGTAGTAGTAATCTCTGAAGTTGCAGTAGTAGTTTCCACTGTAGAAGTGTCCGTGGTAATATCAGTTGTGGAGATTTCCATGGTTGTGGAAATCACCTCAGTTGTAGAAGTAGGTTCTGTGGTTGTTTCCTGCCAATAAGATTACGTTAGAACGTTAGGTTAGGTTAGGTTACGTTAAAACTCATAAAGGGATATTACTCCACGGTCTATATAAGTAGTATTACTCTGCCTAATATTCCTCCTTTGACAGTAATGTATAGTAAATATAAGTATGATGGTCACCTACAACGGTCTGATACGGCATTCCTCTAAATGGCGTCAGTTTCACAAAATTTGCTATCGACTTACGCAATCTTCCCCTTCAAGTTCATTTATAAGGACAATTGTCTCGACATGGCGTTGGTATTCGGGCACAGCTGCCAACATAGCGATGTATCCCGTCATAGAAGATAAGTCCATCTCTCCCTCAGTTCTGTTTGACCTGGGTGAATTCCACACAAGATAAAACGATGCTTGTGAAATACACGTAGACTATATCAAGAATGTGAACAGCATCAGCATTAGAGATTAGCGTTTGAATGTACTTGAGAGAGGAAACAATTATAGCTTAAGGTCTGGAATATATTGTTTCAGTGAACTCGAATTATGACACACCAATGACCCCTATTATTGCTAATATCTTGAATAATTTGTTTTGAACGTCCACCTCGTGATCGCTCACGTGGGCGCTGTGTTCTTCCCCGCCACATCCGCATGACCGTTGGTCTTCATAGCTTTGGTAAATCTACGGGAAAGAATAAATCAGACTGTTGCAATGTTAATGATTCTTGAGGTCTGAGGAATTCGATAATATTTGTTAGCATTTCCCTGTGGCTTCTTCAAAAGATAGTATGATAAGTCTAACTTGATATGGATTAGGGCAATGGCTGGGCTCGTTCGATGATTGGAACGAACGAGGACAACAATACTGGAAGCGTCATTCAGGCAGTGATTACGGGCAAGATGACCAATAAGCCGTGGCCGATGTGAACGTCACTCTCATATTCCTGCTGGGTTAGATGTTTCAAGAACACTTAATAAGGCCAGGGTTTCTGCAACTCAGTTTAGAATAATGGTAAATCATAAAATTATTTCATTGCATAAAAGTTTGAATGTGAAAAATAGAAGCCGTCCTTTAAAGTTAGATAAGGCCAGCGAGCAACTCAAGTTTAATGAATGTAAATTCATAAAATTATTTCATTGCATAAAAAGCCGTCCTTTTAAATATGAAGCCGATGTAGTAAGATCTTTAAAGTTGATTAGTGTATAAGATAACGTTACTGTATATACTGTACATACACACAATATCACATCCTATTAGTCTGCACTTATCGAATAATTATTGTATCTCATTCTTTTCTAAACTAAAATACACACAGTCCCATCTGTGAGGAATCTTCAGTATCAATACTAATAGTTACGACCCTCCCTGCTTTAGGATATCTTTACTGGTATCGTTACAAGGATCTTTACCTCGACTTCCATCTCCATAATGTCGTGGTCATTCATGTAATACCAAGAGGTGTCATTGGAACTGGTATTCGAGTTCTGGGAGAGGACTGTCTCCAACACGGAGTGTCCCTTCTCACTCTCTTGCAATCTGATGAGGATGAATAATAAATCATATTTGTGCCGGCAAAATAATTCGGAAAATCAATAATCTTAGGGAGAACATGTATACCAACCAGGTGTAAAAGCAAATGACATCATGCAACGCTAAAGACAAATAAAGATTATCATCTAGTACCTGTGCAGCGCTTCGTAAAAATCTTCCACGCTATATTCATTTTCAATAACGATGCTCTGAAAAAAATAAATAAATAAATAACTAAGTAATAGCAACATTGAAAGTCATATAAAATACAAATTACACATAATTCACCAAAGCAACAAATCGCAGACAAGGACTTTATACCTGACTAATTTCATCTGTGCTATTTTCGCAGTCTTCGTCCTCAACAACCTGGAGAAATTGGAGAATACCTCCGTCTTCTTCTACATCTAGGTCATAATCCATATCTTCCTCTTCTGTAGGTGTAGAGTCTGTGACGAGTGTTGTAGTTGTGTCAAGAGCCACAGTTGTAACTGTGTCACTAGCTGTAGAATCTGTTGTGATTGTGCTAATAATTGTTTCGGGAACGGTGGAACTTTCCAGAGAGCTGGAGGTTGTCGTCTCCGTAGTTGTAATATCCTCAGCTGTGGTTGTACTTATTATTGGTTCGGTCGTTGTAGTTGTCTGAAAATATATTTGTTTTCATTTTCTCCAATTACCATAAAAGGAAATCGTTTAGATACGTTCATGCCTGCACAGAAGCTTGAAAACGATTTGGATAAGTCCTACAATAAATTTGAATAGAATTTCTACACAGTGTGAAAAAGACGAATTCCGAAACAAAATCCAAAAGAAGAAATGGGTAAATAGATAATAATGATAATAAATGGTAATAACAATAAAAACCGGACAATGCAAGCTTCCATGGGCCCCTGGAGCTTGACAACATACTATCTTCACTAACCTACCCAGCTAGGATACTGAAGATAACAGATCACATTCATTTTCCTTTTAACCATGCTTCCTTCATTCAACCTCATACGTAATAAACATTCTAAATTTGAAAGGAAAAAATCTCATACATTTTCACTTCTTTATTAATCAAATAACGAAGGGTTCTAATGACATTTCTTTGAAGTCAGAAATACGTGAAAAATCTGACGTCAGAGTCAGAACTATTACCGTAATTACACCACCACAGAACCAAGATCAACAACAAAAATGCTTACGTCACTTGTTACGGTGGATGTCGTAGATGCGTCAGTAACTGAGGGAGATAGTGTTGTTACGTCGGAACTCTCAGGAGTGTTCGAAAGTGTTGTCGTCTCGGTAGTTGTAGTCTCCTCTCCCGTGGTTGACACTTCCGTTGTAGTCGTCTGTTCGGTCGTTGTAACAGTGTCATTACTTGTGAAGGTTGTTGTAGTCGTGTCAGTAGTGAAGGGAGTTGTTGTTATTTCGGAAGTTGTTTCGGAAACAGTGGAACTTTCAAAAGTGCTGGAACTTATCTCAGTAGTTGTAGTATCCTCAGTTGTGGTTGGCATTTCTGTTGTACTTGTTGTGAGTTCGGTTGTTGTAATCTGAATTTTTTGTACAATATAGAAGAGAAAATTGATGGAGTAGAAAGAGCGAATTAAATATCAACAATTCTGATGATTCTAAACTTCCTTTGCTGAAAATCTTTGCATTAGTATAGGAAAATGCGGTTAACATAGCGTGCAGGTCCCTTGGTCTTATTTTTTTTCTTCCATTTCATCCTAGTTAATGAAATAAACACTTATTGGGCACTCTACATTTGAACTATACACTAGATATTCAACTATCCCTGAAACAAATAGTTAAACAGAGAAAGTACATTTCATATCATACCAATTTCTTCATTTAATAACACAGGGATCTAGTACCATTTGTTTGAAATCAGAGATTGACATTATTTATACGTTAAGAATCAATGCTATTATTGTTCTTATCCGCATAAAATGAGCAATGGGACGGATAATTTTCAACAGCTCAACAGTCAATGTCCAAATTAAAAGAAAGCAACTTACGGGGCAGTTCGACGTACAGTTCTCTTCAACAACCATATCTTGTTCTATCTGGACTTGTATAGATCTCTTGTCGATATTGGAACCAAGGAGTAGGTCCATGTAAGAATAATCAGTCCTGTTTTCATGGACAGCTGAGTCTTCTCCAGCAATTAATTCACCAACATAATCTAGCTTGACCGTCTGGAAGATTAGCATACATCAGTGCATTTCGAAATATAGTCAGAAACAACATCTGAAGTAGATT